ATCAAAGCTGCTTTCATAGAAAACGTGGAAGCTTTCTACAACAGATGGGAACATAAAAAGTCTGGGCTGAATGGTACTGCCCTTGATACTGGCCATGTAGTCAGAAACTGTAAGGCTGGAGATGATGTCCTGGTAGTCAGTAAATGGGGGGCTAATAGTGCTGTCCTGGGAGACAGTAATGGTGAAGCTGGAGATGCTGTCCTGGGAGACAGTAATGGGGAAGCTGGAGATGCTGTCCTGGGAGACAGTAATGGTGAAGCTGGAGATTTTGTCCAGGTAGTCGGGAATTATACGCAGGAAGGAATACATATAAATGACCTCATAGGGGACAGGAGTCATAGTAGGGAAACAAGTGTAGTCAAAGATAAGATAAAACCAATATTGCAAACTAGAAATACCGCAGGAAATAGCAAACAAGAGGACTCCAATAGCAATAGTGAGGATATATTACCAAAAACAACTGGTGGGAGCTCCATTGTTGGTGCTAGGGAGGATAGAAGTAAGACAGGGAAACATGCACCAACAGGGAATATAGTCACAGAAACCCAAGGCAAACGGAAACCAAGCCTGTGCACATACTATGCACTCGGTATCTGCTGGCATGGGAAATCTGGAAAAACAGATGGGACGTGCAACTATGACCACCCTAGAAAATGCCATGCCCACATGACAACAGGAAAATGCAAACTCCCTTCCTGTAAGCTTTTTCACCCTGAACTGTGTACCTCTTCAGTACAGGAAAGACTGTGCTATAACTTAAATTGCCAGGCATACCATCTAAAGGGGACAAAAAGATACAAAACATCCAGGCCATGGGAAAACCTGGGTAGCCACAGCCACTCAAGAGGGAGAGGTTTTTTAGTGCCAGGAAGGAAAAAAAACTGGCAGGAAATGGCAGAAATCGTAAAACCAAATCCAGTCATTCCTGGAGTGGAACCACAGTCAATGGCCTCCACTCCAAACCAACAGATACAGATACTAATGCCAGAAAAAAAATCCCCCCCCAGTACCAACAATACCACCAGTCCGATAACATTCTTCTTTGCAAATATACAGGGTCTAAAGCCAGCAACAAACAACAAAATACCTTTCATCCGTGGACTGCTTGCAGAGGCAAAGGCAATGTTCGCGGCTTTCACTGAGACCCACATAAAGGATCACTTGGACAACGAAATATGGATCCCAGGTTACAACCTATACAGATGTGACAGAGTGAACAGGCAAAAGGGGGGGATGTTGGCCTGTACATTGCAGAGTCACTTGTTTGCACAGAACTGCTAAATGCCTCAAATGATGTAGTGGAAGTTTTAGCAGTAAAGGTCGAGAACCAAAACCTAGTCATTGTGGTAGTCTACAAGCCTCCGGATGCAACATCCCAGCAATTCCAGGAACAGCTGTTAAAAATTGACCACTGTCTGGAAAACCTTCCAGCTCCTGCACCCAACATCTTGCTCCTGAGGGATTTCAACTTAAGGCACCTAAAATGGAGGAATATAGCAAATAATATTGTTGCAGTAATAACACCAGGAGGCAGCTCTGATGAAAACTCACACTCACGCGAGCTTTTAAATCTCTGCACAAAATTCAATTTAAACCAGCAAATAATAGAGCCTACTAGACTGGAGAAATACACTAGACTCATCTTCACTAACAATGATGATCTGATAAGAAAATGTCACCATATCAAAAACAATATACTCAGATCACAACATAATTGAGGTTCAGTCATGTATGCGCGGAGCCCCAGACCGACATAATGAGATTAGTCACGAGGGAGCATTCACCAAATTCAACTTCAATAACAAAAACATAAAGTGGGACCAAGTAAACCAAGTCCTAACCGATATAAGCTGGAAGATATACTAAGCAACACAGACCCCAACTTATGCCTAGAACAGATTAACTCGGTGGCACTCGATGTATGCACAAGGCTTATTCCTCTAAGAAAAAGGAGGAGTAGATGTAAAACAGAAAGAGACAGGCGCTCCCTTTACAGGCGACGGAGAAGAATAACAGAGCGGCTAAAAGAGGTCAATATATCTGAAATGCGCAGGGAGACACTGGTCAGAGAAATAGCAAGCATCGAACTTAAGCTAAAAGAATCCTTTAGGAGTCAGGAATCGTGGGAAGAACTAAAAGCCATAAATGAAATCGAAAGAAACCCAAAGTATTTCTTCTCCTATGCCAAATCAAAATCGAGAACAACGTCCAGTATTGGGCCCCTACTTAAACAAGATGGGTCCTACACAGATGACAGCAAGGAAATGAGTGAGCTACTCAAGTCCCAATATGACTCAGTTTTTAGCAAGCCGCTAACCAGACTGAGAGTTGAAGATCAAAATGAATTTTTTATGAGAGAGCCACAAAATTTGATTAACACAAGCCTATCCGATGTTATCCTGACGCCAAATGACTTCGAACAGGCGATAAATGACATGCCCATGCACTCTGCCCCAGGGCCAGACTCATGGAACTCTGTGTTCATCAAGAACTGCAAGAAGCCCCTATCACGAGCCTTTTCCATCCTATGGAGAGGGAGCATGGACACAGGGGTCGTCCCACAGTTACTAAAAACAACAGACATAGCCCCACTCCACAAAGGGGGCAGTAAAGCAACAGCAAAGAACTACAGACCAATAGCACTAACATCCCATATCATAAAAATCTTTGAAAGGATCCTAAGAAACAAGATCACCACCCATCTAGAAACCCATCAGTTACACAACCCAGGGCAACATGGGTTTAGAAAGGTCGCTCCTGTCTGTCTCAACTATTGGATCACTACGACAAGGTCCTAAATGCACTAGAAGACAAAAAGAATGCAGATGTAATATATACAGACTTTGCAAAAGCCTTCGACGAGTGTGACCATGGCGTAATAGCGCACAAAATGCGTGCTAAAGGAATAACAGGAAAAGTCGGTCGATGGATCTATAATTTCCTCACTAACAGAACACAGAGAGTAGTCGTCAACAGAGTAAAGTCCGAGGCAGCTACGGTGAAAAGCTCTGTTCCACAAGGCACAGTACTCGCTCCCATCTTGTTCCTCATCCTCATATCCGACATAGACAAGGCTGTCAGCCACAGCACCGTGTCTTCCTTTGCAGATGACACCCGAATCTGCATGACAATGTCTTCCATTGCAGACACTGCAAAGCTCCAGGCGGACATCAACCAAATCTTTCAGTGGGCTGCAGAAAACAATATGAAGTTCAACGATGAGAAATTTCAATTACTCAGATATGGTAAACATTAGGAAATTAAATCTTCATCAGAGTACAAAGCAAATTCTGGCCACAAAATAGAGCAAAACACCAACGTCAAAGACCTGGGAGTGATCATGTCGGAGGATCTCATCTTCAAGGACCATAACATTGTATCAATCGCATCTGCTAGAAAAATGACAGGATGGATAATGAGAACCTTCAAAACTAGGGAGGCCAAGCCCATGATGACACTCTTCAGGTAACTTGTTCTATCTAGGCTGGAATATTGCTGCACACTAACAGCACCTTTCAAGGCAGGTGAAATTGCTGACCTAGAAAATGTACAGAGAACCTTCACGGCACGCATAATGGAGATAAAACACCTCAATTATTGGGAGCGCTTGAGGTTCCTAAACCTGTATTCCCTGGAACGCAGGAGGTCTTTTGCTTTTGTAGTGAGTGATTTCGGTACTAGTCCCTCTAGGATTTTCCAGGTGTATATAATCATGTATCTCTCCCACCTGCATTCCAGGGAATACAGGTTCAGGAACCTCAAGCGCTCCCAGTAATTTAGGTGTCTTATCTCCATTATGCACGCCATGAAGGTTCTCTGTACATTTTCTAGGTCAGCAATTTCACCTGCCTTGAAAGGTGCTGTTAGTGTGCAGCAATATTCCAGCCTAGATAGAACAAGTGACCTGAAGAGTGTCATCATGGGCTTGGCATCCCTAGTTTTGAAGGTTGTCATTATCCATCCTGTCATTTTTCTAGCAGCTGCGATTGATACAATGTTATGGTCCTTGAAGGTGAGATCCTCTGACATGTTCGTATTTAATTAATACAGGGCACAATCACCAGCGCATCGATTAATGTGTTAGTGCCAGCGATAGTTCGTGATGTATATGGCATCCATCGTGAATCCCTGTGTGGCGTTGCTTTGAATGGACTTTCCCGGATTTTCTTCAAGTTTTGTGATACCCAGACCTGTGAGCAGATTGTCAACCAGTACCAGGATGTAAGCAAGCAAGTCACCCCAGCAGTCACTGTTAAGTTGCACGACGTTTCAGGGTACTATACCTGGAGTTTACCTGAAGAGAGTTCCGGGGGTCAACTCCCCCGCGGCCCGGTCTGTGACCAGGCCTCCTGGTGGATCAGAGCCTGCTAGCTGCATGCAAACCAACGTACGAGCCACAGCCTGGTTGGTCAGGAACAGACTTTAGGTGCTTGTCCAGTGCCAGCTTGAAGACTGCCAGAGGTCTGTTGGTAATCCCCTTTATGTATGCTGGGAGGCAGTTGAACAGTCTCGGGCCCCTGACACTTATTGTATGGTCTCTTAACGTGCTAGTGACACCCCTGCTTTTCATTGGGGGGATGTTGCATCATCTGCCAAGTCTTTTGCTTTCATAGTGAGTGATTTTCTTGTGCAAGTTCGGTACTAGTCCCTCCAGGATTTTCCAGGTGTATATAATCATGTATCTCTCCCGCCTGTGTTCCAGGGAATACAGGTTTAGGAACCTCAAGCGCTCCCAGTAATTGAGGTGTTTTATCTCCGTGGTACATGTGCGAAACGTGCCTTATGAGACCAATGAAGTCGACATACGTGACGCTTTTGAACGTTATGGGAAGATCCACCAGGTTAATATGGGTCAGTGGTCTGACGGCCTCTATGCTGGTCATCAAGAGGGGTCCTTCACTTTGAAAATGTCCCTACGCCAGCCAATTCCTTCGTACGTACACCTGGAGGATTTTCGTTCCCAGGTGTACGTTACGTATCCTGGACAGAAACGAACTTGCCGCCTCTGCGGCGCTTTGGATCACATTGCGGCACAATGTGTTCAGTGCCAGCTGCCCTCGGGACGTGGCCATCGTCCGGATGGTGAGGTTCCCCGTCAGACTCTGGAAGACGAAGTCGTCGAGGACTTGCCGCGCCTGACATCATTACCATTGTAACTTGTGAGTTCATTACCTTGTACCTAGTTCAGCCATCAAAACTTTGGAGCCCGGTCCCTGGACCCATTGTGTACCTCTGTAATCTGTAAATACCTTTGTAACTTGTCATGATTGTGACTAGACCTACCTGGAGTTCATTACCTTTGTAAATTGTGAGTTCATTACCTTTGTAAATTGTGAATTCATTACCTCTGTAACTTGCTCAGCTATCAAAACTTTGAGGCCCAGTCCCTGGACCCATTATGTACCTCTGTAATCTTTTGACTACCGCCCACTGGATGGGTATGGGGTGCATAATAAACATATTAAACTAACTAACATCATGGAGTGCTGAGGTTGATCGGGCCATGCTCGTAGAGTCATCTTGTGTGACTCTACCTGGGACTGTCTCCCATGATGAGGTGGAACAAGTGAGAAGTGAGATCCCTCTAGCAAGAGAGGTGGATGACATAGAGGCTAATATTGTATCTACATTGAGCGACCTTTTAGCGTCGTATGAGTATGATTCTGTGCCGTGTGTGCCTTTGTTGAAGTGTTCAGGTGAGGAGAGAGGACGTTTGGATGATGTTGATTAGTTAGTTAATGTCTGAGATGTGGAGGGTCTGAGAGTTCATATTGTTGAGGTAGACATTCACAAGGAGAACACCTCAGGTACTGACATAGCTGAGGATGCTGTTTCTAGGAAGCGTGCGGCTACCCCGTCCGACTCCGACGACGTCTTGACCCCTGAACAACGTTCAGGGAAGAAAACGTGGTTGGAAATCATGGGTGGGGGATCGCGCGGGTCCAGGACAGCAGGTAATATCACGGAGAATGCCAAAGGTATGGGCGGTGCCTTAGGTGCTTGCTGATGCAAAGAGAAAAAGGGTGTGGTGGCCCCTAGAGGAAAGCCACCTTTGGCAAAGTTAGGTGTGTAACTATTAATGTTAATGGTTTGAAAATCCTCAGAACGCATGTGCAGGTACGTGAGTGGTTGAATCGCTTTGCAGTGGATGCGTGTTTTTTGCAAGAACATAATCATAAAGTAGGAAGTTTGTTTGAGATAGATGGTTATGATGTTAATATGACTCACTCGAGACGTCTGAAAGGTGGAGTGGCTGTGTTGATAAAAGCGACCAGCCCATTTTTGATGAAACATTGGGAGGAGGGGGGGGAGGGTCGGGTGGTGGGAGTCATGAGAGATTGGGGTAATAGAAGGGTTGGTTTCGTAGGAGTATATTGGCCGGCCGAACATGATGTTAATATTAAAAATACTTTTGTTAGAGATGTTCTAGTGTACTATTTGAGGTCCCTGCCAGATATTACAGTGTTCAGTGGTGACTGGAACTGTGTGGTGCACTGTAAAGATGTTGAACCGAGGGGGGCGGGTTTTTGTTCGCTTATTTTGGGTGATTTGTTGTCTGGGCTGGGATTGGTGGATGTAAGTGGAAGACGTGACTTGGGGATTGAGCATACTTTCGTGCGTAGGGGCTATGCGGCGTGCTTAGATAGGGCGTATGTGTCTCGGCGGGTGGCTGTAATCAATGTGTGTGTGTTAAACGTCTATGTCTCCGACCATCGCGGAGTTCTCGTGGAGCTTGACTGGGGGGGGGGGAGTCTCCCAAACCGTTTTAAGGGTTATTGGAAGTTAAATACGCGACTGCTACAAAGTGCAGATGATAGGACACCATTCACGGACTTATGGGCATCTATGAGAGTAGACTCCTGGGAAGGATGGGATTTAGTGCGACAATGGGATATTTTTATGTGCATTAGGGTAAGGAGGCCTCTCGCTTGTGGTATGGTTTTATGAGGTACCTGGAGGGTTCTTTATGGCATTGTTATGCACAGGGAGAGGCGTCTGGAATTTATCCAGTGGACGAGATTGACGATCTTAAGGAACAAATCCAGGTACTAAAAACTAAAGTTTTTGATGGGGCATGTATTTCGAGTGGGGTGGAGAAGGCTGTGTGGGGTGATAAGCCGTCTACTTGTGTCTTACATAGTCAGGCACAAAGGCGAAAGGCGACTAAAATTGTGAGTTTAGTGGTGCAGGATGGAGTTGACGGGTATAGTGAGGGACAGGTCTTAACAACAACTGAAGGAATAAGTTTTTATGTCGATACATGGTGTAAGCTCCAAATGCAAAGTAAAGAAGTGAGTGAGAATGCGATACAAGAATTGCGGTGGGGAGTACGATGCAAGTTGAATGATCATGATCGCTTTCTCATGGGCAGGCCTATAACTGAGGCGTAGGTGTGGGAGGCATTGCAGGGAATGAGCAAGGGTAAGGTGCCAGGCATTGACGGCATCCCGTGTGAATTTCATATCCAACACTGGGAGGTAATACAGACTTTTATGGTTCGTTTACTCAATGCGATGAAGGAGGGGGGGGGGTTGTTAGGTTTGTCTCAGCGTACGGCGGTTTTGGTGTTCGTTAGAAAATGTGATGTACCTGTAGCGATTAAGGATTATCGACCCATATCATTAATGTGTAGTGACTATAAATTATATGCAAAAATTTTAAAGAATAGGATTAAGAAAGTGTTTGATAAGGTAATCCATAAGGGTCAGTTTGGCGTGCCAGGTAGGTCGATGTATGATGGTCATGGGAATATCAAGGAGTTTGTCGAGGAATGTGGAACGAGGGGCGGGGGTGGTGTTTTGGCTTTAGACTGGCAAGCTGTTTTTGATAGTGTGGAAAGGGAGGTGATGTGGAAGTTCATGAGATGGCAGGGTTTTGAAAATGAGGTCATCATGTGGGCCCGTTCTTTGTACAATGGTGCTGGTTTTAAAGTACAAATTAATGGGAAGTTAGGTGTCTTTGTCCACTTGAACAGGGGCATTCGACAGGGATGCCCCATGTCTCAAATGCTTTTTGCTTGTATGCAGGAATAGATTCGTCATGGGGTTTGAGTAGTGGTCAACCGGCCCTTGTAGGTTATGTAGGTGATACTACTGTGCTATTACGTACGAGAGAGCAATTGGGTTTTGTTGGGAGACTTGTTGATGTATTTGGTAAGGCTACGGTGATGTGTGTTAATAGAGAAATATCGAAGATTATGGAGTTTGGAGAGTGGGTGGGAGAAGGGGTGGGTACAGAGATGTAGACGGTGGTTGATCGTATCACTATATGTGGTATTCAGTATATGCGAGAGGTTGATCAGACGAGGGCATGTAATTCATAGTGTTTTGCAGCGTTTAAATAGTCTATGGCCGCGACATTTAACCCTGCACCAGACGGCGGTGGTCATTAATGTTCTGCTTTATAGTAAAGTATGGCATGTTGCTGCGCTGTATCCTCTGTTGCAGGGGGACGTCAAACGTCTTTTGCATAGAGTTTATAGATTTTTGTGGGGCTCGGGGTGCGATTGGCTCACAAGAGCGGTGGTAGAGACACCAATGCATCAGGGAGGGTTAGGTCTCATTCCTCTAGGGGCTCGTGACATAGCATGTTACGTGAAGTGTCATTTTCTCTGAATGGGTGGGATGCATGGTGGGTTAACTGAAATGTATTGCGACCTGCGCAGGTGGTGGGGAGGGAGGGATTTAATTAGGTGCGAGACGATGCTCCGCATGTTATTGTGCATGCGGGATGTGCGGAGTGTTAAATTATGTACTTTGGAAAGGGCGGGTATGGAGAGAGCTGTGGTGCGAGTTGAAGGAATGTACCCCAAGTACGCGTGGAGTGATACATGGAGGCGGGTCCAACAGTTGTGTCTCCTTCCTCAAGTACGGGAAGTGGTTTTTAAATTTTTGCATGGAATCCTGCCGTCCGGGGTGGTGTTGTATAATCGGCGTTTGGAGGAGGACCGGGGTTGTTCGGCATGTGGGGTGGAGGAATCTGCTTTTCATGTCGTATTTCTTTGAAGCTTTAGGTATGGTACGTGCGTGGTTCAGAAGGATTTTGCGATTGTGGGGGGGGGGATGTTTGTTGGCACTCCGAGCGTTGAGTTTTGATGTAGGTGGGGTTGACGTGTGTGTACAACGTGCGGTGTCATACGTCGTAGCCAATTATATTTATGTGTCATGGGCTATGAGGCACATTGAAGGTAATGGTAGAATTCGGGTTTTAGCGGGAACGATTCATAGGACAATGTGTCGAAATAGGTTGGTATATGAGGGGAGATGGGAGAAAGACTTCCTGTCTGAATATAAAGCCTTGGAGTTAAGAGATTTGAGATAATTTGTGTGCATTCAGTGGGTAATCTAACGGGCTGGTCAGCTGTGACTAATTGTGTATAATAGTTATGTGAATGTTTTGTTATCTCTGTGTTTATATACGTCTTCTATGTGATGGTGATGTTGCTATAGCTGTTAAGACTTTGTATGTACAGAAGTTAAAAGGTCTTCCGTCATTTATCTCTCGATACAAGTTGTGGAAAATTGCATTTAGCTGAATGTATCATTACATACATAACAGTAAATGAAAAGATAATTATTATTTATCAGTTAGACATGTAGAAATTTGGGACATCTAGGTCGCAAAAAATGTCCCCTTTCGATACCTACCACTGTCATATCCACAAGTTGCTCTGGACCTATTAATTACAAATGAAAAATACATCACCAGGAATGCTGGTAAATATATAAATTTGTGGACTGTATATTAAATTAATAAAGAGTTATATATATACACATTTATATAACAGAAGGAGAATATATCTTAATCATAACACACACCAATTTGACTGGAGATTAATGTGTATCATACTCAGAAAACCTCACTGTCTATACATGAAAATAACACTGGCCAGGTTAGTACATAAGACTTATCTGAGGTTCCTGGAGCTGTCTTGTCCAGTCGCCTGATATCTCAAGTTATGCAGGAATACACATCCAACAATTTCGTCTCCTATTTGAGAGGTGTCAGCCCAATTTTAACCTTTAGAGCATGAAAAACTCTTCCCATTACACCGACGTTTCTAACCCAAATTCAAACGAAATGGCCTCTGACCTCCCCAGCCGCAGCTTTCCCATTTTTGATAACATACTTCTTTTAAAAATACAATATAG